TCGTCAGCACAGAACGAACAACGTCGTCAACATCATTGCGAAGTATTCTCACTGATCATTTCTTGGTTAAAAGTTGAATACGAGTATTCATTGTTAGCAATGCCAAGCGTCAATTACTTTTTTATAAATTCTGTTTAGTGATTTCTGGGAGGGGTGAGGGGGTCTACACTTTTCACACTGTATTTATAAAATACCTCATTTTCTGTATTCAGGCAATAACCGCTATATTTTCTTCTTTCATTTACTTTTAGTCTGACATTTACAGTCTTAATATTAATATCGAAAAGCCTAGGTATGATCAGTCTACCTATGCTGGACGAGCTAAACACTTTTTCATCACTACCAATCCGCTTAATGTACTAAAAACTTCCGCTGAACTTGATGCTGCAAAATCTATTGTCCAGAAATACAGGTTAGTTTTGCGCCTACAGTATAATTTAGAATCCACTGTAATCCCTTACTTAAGAGCAAAAGAGCCGCTTCCCGGACTATCGGAGAATGAGTTATGGCGAGCAAAACAAATATACGATTCCGCTTTCCACCCAGACACAGGGGAGAAAATGCTCTTGTTCGGTCGGATGTCTTTTCAAGTGCCTGGAAACATGTTCATCACCGGCTGTTTGTTGCAGTTCTATAAGTAAGTCTAATTCAGTGTTCTTTTACTGCTTTGAGGCAAACAGTGGGTGGTGACCATTTGGTTTTAGTCATTGTCACCGGCGCACTTTGGGGCCCAGGGTCCGAGGTTCGAACTCCGACACCGCCAACGTTTATGGTAGACAGCTACTCTGTCGCCCGGCTCTATACCACGCTCTTGCTGTATAGTTCACCACCCGACGTCCCGGTGCTTATGTTGCCGGTTAAGATGACCGAAAAACATCTTCATTACTATGGGTGCAATTGATGCCCACACAATCAATCGACTAAGACTGTGGAGAAGATCGGGAGCCCAGAATCCAGGTTTTATCCAGCAAATAACTTTACAAAGGGCTGAAACGCGGAATACAGGCACAATGTAAAACGGGCCTCAAAAAGATACAAAACGGATACAAATGGTTTAACGTGACAATGGGGTTTACCCTGTTTGTTGTCAGTGGCAAAAATAGTGTGCTATACAAAAGCATGCTATGATAAAATTGTTTTGTTCTACAGCACATAATTAGATGGGGCTTTTAACTGTTACCACCATGTATTGTTTGGAGAGGAGAGCGAGTAGCACGTGACTTATTTTTAGAACTCGTCCGCTCACAGAGGCTTTGGTTGTAACATGGAATTTGTGGCCAAGAAAGAGGATAGCTTTAATTATCTTTTTCCTCGATAGTTCTACAGACCATCATAGTACTACGTTACTCATGTGCCATCAGAAAGATTCTTCTTTGAAATCTAAAACGTCGTCCTTAATCCCAGAAAGGGTCTCGGGACATGGTTAACGAAGTACTTTAAGTTTTTTCGAAATAAACGAGTTCACATGATAGTGCTGTCACTACTCATTTTGATCCACCTGTAACATCGCTTTCACCGACTATGCTGACGTCCCTCTCACGGCTCTATTTCGAGGGCACATCAGATTGATACGAGACAAATTACTCTGCATTTTCAGTTAAAGAATCATTCATTCATGATAAATAGTGGTAATCCTAATCATAGTAGAGGGCTCTCACAGTGATTCTTATTACAAATCTATTGGTGATGGATCCCACAGTGATGAGGACCTACTGCTCGCTGATGATAACCGGCAACCTAAGCCCTGACACTTGGAATGGGTCACCAGATAAGACTTTGATGAAATAAATGTGATACTTAACCGGATGACAACAAAGCTGCATGCCACTAAAGTCGAGCGACGGTGTCAAATTTTGAAACTCAGAGCTTAAGACTGGCGTCAGCGAATTAAACTGTTTCATCACCATTTTGAAGATACTCAAGTCTAATTCTAATGTTGCCTTATCTTCCGGTGTTTGTTTGGCTTGAAAGGTTGACCAAAAATGCTTAAATATATTTTACGCCAATCATTACAGATGCGGAACCAAAAGGCTTTGGTAGTTAACTCAGAAGATTCAAACTTGTTTTCATGTTGATCACGGAAGTATAGTTTTTAATCGTCCGTCAGCTACCAGAGTATACACTCTCATCTTAAAGATTAACGGTCAATGGGAATCTTAACATTTAAGTTGTCTGTGATTCCATGAATACGGTTATTTGTGATTAAAACCATCATTACTGGTGATCATTTGATCATAGTCGGCAGTCGCTTTTACCTAGTGAGAAAGATAACTGGCGGTATCGAAACCATGATTACATTGCCCATTGCAAAAGGCTCATTGGCTCTCACCACCCTAAACCATCGGCGGTGTCAACACGGCATCCGCCTTTTTCTGAAAAGTTCCAACGGTACTGCGTTGCAATTGGGACACTTGGCTGTTCCACGCTGGGGAAGCTGGATGGTCTTCTCTTTTACAGCAAGGCTATTGTCCACACCTGGTTTTAGCATTACCTGAACAGTGATGAGGTCCAAAGACGTGTACCAGGAAGATATAGTCGTTCTTTATACTATTTTTCACTACTTTACCCTTGAGGGTTTAAACATATATTACGCATATCTGCTCACCATACTTGCCGATGGCGCTTTTGCACCTTCGGGACGTGTTTGGAAAAAACGAACATGATGATTAGTCAATTGTTTGAGACACTGGCACGGTAAATTCTACGGTCTATTCCTCTTAACTATCTAATTAAGGCCTGCGGGTAAAGGAATGTTGCTGGTTGGAAACTCAAATGTACGTGGTACAATCCAAAACCGGTGGCGTAGTTGCCGTCAAAGTTTATTTGGAACGTCCCTGACTTTCAAAGCCAGCACGCAAAATACAGGTAAAAATGGAGAGAAAACTTTGCAAACGTTATAAAAGTAAGAGCACAATTTCAATACCTCATTTTTTCATATTCCATTAGCAATTTTTGTTCGTCCAAAATTCGAAACATGTGCTGTGCTGAAACTTTATTTACGGTTCATAAAATATATACATATTTTTGAACTAGGTAGTATATGAATGACTTGACAAAGTTGTTCTGGAAGTACACTACCGGTTTCACGGTTCTTGCTGCTTGTCAGGCACGCGTATCCGGTATTTTTTTGTCATTTCATATATATATATATATATATATATATCCTGTCGCACTGTAAAAATGAACCCTAACGTGTTTGTCCGACACCGTTGATTGCTACTATTCACATCTGATACTTTGATCTATTTATCCAGGTCTGCACCCCAAGTTATTTTCTGGCAGTGGTTCAATCAGACTTTTAATGCTGCAGTAAACTACACCAACAGAAGTGGTGACGCCTCGATTTCAGTCACGTGAGTGAAATGTATGAATTTTGTAGTGCGATTTTTGAAACTATTTCAATATTTTCAAAATCAACAACAGTGCATATTTAATATCAGTTAAGTCTAATTGTGAATATGTAAAAAATGTGCTATAGACAGTCATATAATCCAGAAAATTTACCTATGAGTGAGATCATATATTTGCAACCCTTATAACAAGTACGTGGAGTAATGGTTTGCGTGCTCCTATAACCCTATGAGATCTGCAGAATAGCTTCACACAACCGCCATTCGTATTATGTCTGAACGTTAAATAAGCAGAAAACATATAAAGCTCTGTCTTACAAGACCAACTAATTGATTGTCAGCTTACGTTTCCTTTAACCATCTGCTCTCCTTGGAGAGGTCACTTCAGCAAATAAACATGGGGCGAGCAGTTTACCGGCCAACCCCTTCCCCGCTAGACGGCCTTAAGAGCGAAGTACGTGGGGCTTCCTCTCAATGGTGCGGGAAGTCTTTGCAAGTCACTAGACAGATACTAACCGCCCAAACTGGGCAGCCTCCACCGACCGGGCGGAGGTGCCATCCCGTCCACTTCTCGTTTGTCCCAATGGGTGCTTGATGCTAAGGGCCGATCCTGATCGGCGGACTGACAATCAGCTCACCAGTAAACAACACAGTGAACCCAATCCCGAAGGCCTTGCGGGACAGGTTTCTAGGAGCTCTCACGTGGGTGCTTCGGTCACAATTCAGCTTTGTATCTACGCCCCATTACCTTACGGGTTAGACTTTTTAGTCCGAGGTCCCGATCAAGGTTGCTTGCGCACGTAGTATATATACCACCAGATAGGCCCCCTTGTTTGCTATGTTTCCTGTAACGGATAGTGTGGAGGGAACTCAAGGTGGTCATGGGGGT